TCTTATGAGTCTATCCTCAGTAGCTTCCTGATCCTCAACCAAAGCGAACACTTTACGACTGGTTTACGCCTTCTTTGGTTTCTGACACTGACTACCAATGTGTCCTTCTTCACCATAATTGAAACAAATCACCTCCTTATGCTTGCACTCAGACACAACATGTCCAGTCTCACCATAACAGAAACACCTCTTTACCTCAGCAGTACACACATTACTCTTATGCCTAGGTTTTCCGCATTTAAAACAAACCACACCAGCAGGAGCTTCTCCTCCACTAGTCCTCTGACCCTGAGTAGCTTTTGCTTACCTTTATCGGATGGGACATCATAAGGCTTACCACGATTCTGTTGGTGCTTACCCCTCTTCTCACTGATAATCTTGTAGTGAGCATTATTATCCTCTTCATAAAGTCTACAACTATCAACCAAATCAGCAAACACACAAATCTTTTGGTATCCGACTGCCTTCTTGATCTCTGGGCGCAACCCGCTCTCAAACTTGATGTACTTCGAAAACTCAGCATTTGCCTCACTATAGTGCGGATAAAACTTAGCCAACTCAGCAAACTTTGCATCATACTCTACAACTGATATACTCCCTTGCTTCAGCTTAAGAAACTCAACTTCCTTCTTACCACGAACGTCTTCAGGAAAATACTTCCTCAAAAATTCTCTACGGAACACAACCCAAGTAACATTTTCACCTGCAGCTTCCAACCTCTGACACATCTCTAGCCACCAGTCATCAACTTCGACTCCTAGCATATGAGTACCATACCGGACCTTCTGCGCTAGAGTGCAGTCCATCACATAGAAGATTCTCTCAATATCTTTTAACCAATCTAACGCTCCGTCAGGATCATACTTTCCCTTGAACATAGGCGGATTCTCCCTCTGGAAAGTCACCAAACTACGAGATCTAGCATTCCTGTCAGCATTCAGATGATTCTCTATAGCATGCGCCATTACTTCTAAAGCAACAACAAGTGCAACATAATTCCTTCCAGTCATCTCAACTTATCACTACAACATAAACAACAGTTATAACTCAAATTAACAATACTCGATTGTTAAACAACCTAGGACTCGACAACTTGGTCGGGCATACCAACTTTATAACACCCCAATTTTACCCGGCGATATAAATGTAAATCATAGTTTTATAAAAATTATATAACTGAATCAGGATGCCACAAATTCGACTTAAAAACCATTGCATTCAACATGGATACATAACACTTTAAACTTCGGATGAACCAACAGCAAAATAAATTAATCTTTTAAATCAACAACTTGAACAACTACGTAGCGGAATCATAATAACATTTTTATCCAACATGAAAGCAACTTCGGAATAACAAGTACTTAACAACAATCAAATTAAAGTTCAGCCAACTGAAATAACAAATACTAAAGCAACACGCGCCCATCCCCACGAGTCTTACGTATCAGAGCAATGACAGCGACTCGAACTACTGAAGGTCAACCGCCTTCACTCTGGATTACCTGCACGTTACCAACATAAGGGTAACATTCAAACAAAAGGGGTGAGATATCGAACAATATAATCGAATGTATGATAATTATCATATTAGAATCAATTCATGCAAAAATCACTACTTCATAACTTATAACAACAACAATCACAACATACAAGAATTAATTCATCAACACAACAGCTCAATCATACTACTTAGAATGTGACTCAATATTATGCGAATGCATGTGGTACCATTGGAGCAGAACTCCCATCTTAAAAACAGAGTAAAACTCCCTTCTTAAAAATTTCCAATTAATAGAGGCATCAACAAGGCATAAGCCTTCTTTGCAGTTTGTCAATCCAAGCCATCATAGAGTATGAAAATGTATATGAATGCACTATCACATACACACAATAATCATCATCCATAGTAAGGCATAAGCCCACATCACCATTATTATCAGTAAATAGAGGTAATTCATCATCATGTAAATTCCCTACAACTTCGCATTATCAACAAGAATTTACAACAACAATCACAACTTCACAACATCTCAACATAAATCAACATTGGCATAAACCTTCAACTTAATCATAATTCAACGTAAATCAGCATAAAATAACGTTGTCCACAAGCCTATTACATCAATAAGATTCAATCATTAATATAATTAAACAACAACTTAACATTAATTTCACACAGCACTGGTAACGACCAAAATACAGCATGGACGGGCAAAAGAGATAGGGAACTACGTGCCCCTCGACATGTACAAAAACTATGACAACATACAACTAAATCATACTCCTCGACACGCATAGAGAAAACAGGGTGACGACCAACCTATGCTCCTCGACATGTCCTGCAATCTAATTCTTCTCGAAAATCTAACACATAATCCCCGACACGCCTTGCAGCCTAAATTACCGCTCGGTGCCTAACGTCATCCGCATTCTCCTTGACCACTAGTTCGGCCAACATCACAGACACAACTCAATGTCTTAACGACCACACCACTATAATTTATACTTCCGGTCAACCGCTTGGAATAAGACAACAACGGGCAACTATATTTCTATCGACAGATTCGTTCATTATACAAGACCGACTACGACAACAATTCCTAACTTCCAGCCAACTGCTCGAACCACTACAACATCGTAACGACCACACCATAATCACGACCACAACAACATAACGACCACAAAAACAGGTAGCAATCTACACTAACCTACTCATCGACTCTATCGGGCAGTCATGCAGATAACACGAAACATCCACAACATAACAGAACGACATCTTCCCTTAACATATTCAGCAACATCACGGGCAACAATCCCAATTACGACCAATTCGCCATAGCAAACATCATAAATCTCATTATAAGGTCAGAATCCCACCCTTACCTGGATTGAAGGTCGCTAAACCAAAACTCTAGCCGACGGCTTTGTTTCATTCTGCTCGACACCGGGCAACTTGCTTCTCTCTCCGTGCAACTCTTCCGGGCAACGTACAGAAATCCTTATTGTCCAACTAAAATAAATCCTTGTGTTAGCTTCTCCTTATATAACAATCCTCTTGGGCCTAACCTACACCCCCACTTTACTATTTCTAACCAATATCATAAGTCTAACATTATTTCATATTTTCCCTTAATTCCACATAATATAATTATTATTAATCAACTAATTAATTAATTAATAATAATCTAACAACTTATACCAATGATCCTCAATACTACACAACTTCACCATTATTCCAAAATAATCTAATTAAATAAATAATTAAATTAAATTATGGACATTACAGCACACCCAAAATCCAAAGTTCATGGGATGAAGAAGATAAGAAAATGGTCTTCAACGACAAGAAATCAATCAACCTACTTCAAAGTGCACTTAGCATGGTTGAATTCTTTTGTATTTCACAATACACTACGACAAAACAAATATGGGATACATTAGTGGAAACTTATGAAGCGACCGTTGAAGTAAAAAAATCAAGATTAAATACCTTGACTCAAGAGTTTGAGTTATTCAGAATGCAACCCCGAGAATCAATTATTGACTTGCATAAAAGATTCGTGCACTTGACGATCTTTATAATAACTTTACTAACAATAAACTTAATATTAAAGTGCTTAGATGAATAGTAACTGAAAGTGACAGCGATATCAGAAAAGAAGAGTCTATCCAATATGACATCCACAATACTGTTCGGAAAACTCCAAGAGCATAAAATAGAACTTGAAAGATTGGAGAAGCATGAAACTCAAGTAAAAGATTCAAAACATATTGTCTTAAAAACTAGAGTAAAAAATCATGATAGCAATCAAGAGGATGAGTCCACTAATGATGATGATTTATAAAAAATTCATCAAAAGTCCAAGAAAAATAAGAACACACAAACCGTCATCTAAAAACGAGAAAATTTTGTCAAACCTAATTCATCCCCATCTTAGGTTGCACACTTCAAAACATACAACTCACACTTGGTTCTCAATAATCTCCTCCTCAAGTGTGAGTCTATCCAATATGCTCCCCCTCAAGCGGGAGCTCTTTCACCTGCATACTTGTACCACTGTTGACAGACACCCTTACCTTACCACCGCCTGACCACCACCATGTTAGGAACACTTTCGATACAAGAAATCGATCTCTTACTCGAATCAAACTCTAATACCACTGTTGAGTCATCATGAGCGGGAAACATTCACGTTTGGTCAAACACTCAGCTAAAGGTCAAAGACTCACTCAAACAAGTGAGAGAGACACCACATATTCACCAAAAATCTTAAAGTGGTAGGTGTATGATTTCTCTCACTTATAAAATGTCCAACCTCCACTTTTCTAACAAATGTGAGACCTACACAAGTCACACTTGTTTCTCAATAGACAATACATCTTCACAAAAAAATTTAAAACATTAAATATATATCATGTAACTTATATATTGCTCAAAATTTACTTTTTCATCTAATATGACACATCTAACTCACACTTGACACATCAATACTAAATTTATATGAACGCATTCAATGGTTAAAACATATGAAAAATTAAAGAAAGGGGCAAAACAAATCTTTCGTCTAATTAACAACAACAAAAATTCATAAATGAATCACTAAATTTATAAAAATGACTAACTTTGTCTGTTGTGGACAATTAGGAGACCAATATAATATATTTTTTTTAGATAGTAGATTAAAATGAACCCAAAATCAAGTTATAGGACACAAAACTGGCTTTACTTTTATTTTTCTATTTCACTTTTAATAAAAAAGTTGTCACATATATAAATCTTTAAAAGCAAACAAAACAAACTAGATAGTTTGTTTTATTGAACAAACTACATAGCTTTTTATTGAACAAAGTAGATAGCTTTGTTACTTAAAATGAAAACAAAAAACATTTTCAAAAAACATGTGTGTTTAATTTCTGCAATGTAATGTAATGTATAGTATAATTTATTTATGCAACTTTTTTGAAAGGTAGCTTTGAATGAGCACCTCTTTTTCACTTTAATGAGTGATCATAAAGCTTTCATTATCAAGTAATTGAATTCTTTCTGGAGGCAAATTGTTGTCCTTTTGAGTTTCAGTCTCTTTGGGTGGAGCATTAACTGATCGAGCAAGACGCTTCACTGAATTTAACCGTGAAGATTTTGGCGTGTTACCTGAAAAAAAATTAAGAATATTCAAACAAATTATAAATAATAACTAAGAATTCTTCGATATTCTAAAGATTTTTTTGAAAAGAAATCTGTATTATATAACAAAATAAGTTTACACAAAAATTAGGGTTAGACCTACCAAAAAAGTGAGTATTCTAAATTTTTTTGGTCAAGAGTATTCTAAAGTTTTATTAGATACTAATACTTGTAAATAAATTTATTTAAAATTTAAATTTATTTTAAAATAAATTAATATAAAACAATTATATAACGTTGAATGACTGGTTGATGGATATTGTATAAGAGTGTTCCCGATAATAAAAGATGTGAAGTAGTTGTTCCAACTTCACTTTCTCTTAACCCAAATATCTAAAATAATTGATGGATCAAATTATCAATAAAATCTAATCAATTTACTATGTTTAATGTGAGTAGGGATTCACTTTATTTTCTAAAAAGAAATGAAAGATTTATTACTATAATTTTGTGTATATAAAGTTTAATAAATATTAGTTTCATGTCACATATTTAAAAATATGTATAATTTACACAAAATTATATTAAAGGAGATTTCATTTCTTTTTTGAAATTATGGGTATGAAAACAGATAAGGATGGAAAAATAAGCAGAGAATTTCATAATACATAGTATTTTTTTCTAGCACAACATGCGAAAATACATAAATGTCTTTTAGTTATAGAAAATATATTTATATAATTGTATTTTCCGAAACACCCCAACTATATATCATATTTAATCTAAGAAATCTCATATGTCTCGCAGAAATAAACTGGAAATACATTTCTGGTTCCCTTCCATAAATGCATCTCCGGAATTAATTGAAGTTTAACAAAAAGAAAGGCGCGTTCCGAAAATACACTGAAATTTCCAATAAGTTTATCTAAATTTTTCGTCGTTAATTAGATAAAAAAAAGACTAAAATAAAGCATTTTGAAGAGTTAAGAAATCAAAATGAACCTTTTATAAGTTAAAGAACCAAAATGACCTTGACGTTAATATACGAGACCAAAAAATATATTTTTGCCCAAATCATCTATTCTCTTCGACCTAAAATATAAGAGAGAAAAAAAATACATTTTTTTAAAATTAAATACAAATTTCTCTCTTATCATCTATATGAGACATTAACACAATTTTGATAATTGAAATCCAACAATCATCACTAGTCTTAATCCAAGATAGGATCAAGAGACTTTAATGTCACATATTCATCCAAAACTTTAAGGCAATAAGGATATAAATCACCTCTCTTATAAATCTAACATTTCCTCAATTTTTAATAGATGTGAGACTTTATCACTTTCACATTTAAAACCCAACAATCTTCCTCACAAATATGGATCATCGACCTCACTAATATTAATCCACACTAAGATCCACTTCCTCTCTCCACCTTTCAAATTCAAGAATTTCCAATTCTTAATGAATAATCATTTGAATATGGTTGAGGAACAAAAGTTGTGGTTGATAAACAAAATACATCATGAACAAGAACAAAAACAATAAGTAGAGGTGATTTTAATTTTAATGTTATTATTATCATATATAGTCTTTTAATAAAAAGGTTGTCACCTCTCTTATAAATTTAACACAGAATAACTTTTATTTATAATTTAGTATAAAGAGATTACTCACTCGAATCACCGATTGATACATCTTCATTTGTTTTCAACTCAAGTGCAACCTGGCTAGTACCAGCAGAATCAGCCACTAAACCTGTAACATTTCTTGCAAGATTTCTAATTTGACGCAACCTTGGTGAATTATCTAGCTTATAAACTAGAGTTTCCATGCTAGATGAACCTATTGTTTGCATTACAAGATTAAAAGAGGAAAAGAATCAACATGTAAAACTTAATATAATGGATTGGAAAGAAGATAAAAAAGCAACATAACAATATTAATATCTCACCATGAGAAACTTTTGTTCCCAAATTCAATGTCTCTTGTCCTTGATTAATTCCAAAACCATGACTAAAAACTCTATAGTCCAGTGAAGTAGAAGAATTAGCACCTTGAAATTCATCACTAGTACTAGCTTCACCAGCACTTGATTCTAGAGCAAGAGGGTTAGGAGGAAGAGGAATAAAAGAAGCATTAACATTACTAGCATTCACATTCACATTCACATTCGCATTCGCGGCTCTTTGTCTTCTAAGTTGATAGTTTCTTCTACGTCGCGCAAGATGTCTTTCCCTTTGTTCTTGCGTCATCGCTTGCCTCCTCTGTCGATCTCTTATCCGCCTCCTCTCCCTCTCTTGCTCTCGCTGAATTCTCCGCAACTCGCCTCTCTCCGGAACCTCTTCCATCTCACTCACCCTTGTTACCTCTTCTCTCTTTGCACCACCACTTTTTTTCACCTTTTATTATTCATTATTTTGAATCAAACGCGCCACAAAATAAAGCGTTATTATAACTCTAAAAATAAAACCGAACGAAAAATCATACCAAACCGCAATCAATCTCGATCTATACATTACAAAAAAAAACCAGATGTAAAATAACAAGATGATAGTATAGATAACAATGAAACATTCAAATTATAACAATTTTTCAAAAACTAAATAAATTTGTTACAAGAAAATGTACCTTTCACTGCAGATTGGAGAAGTGGAGAAACAAACCGAAACAATAGTTGTATGTAAAAAAAACATGAAAATGGAATGAAACATGGAATGTAGATGATGAAAATATTGTTTTTTATTTAATTAATTTAATTTAATTTAACTTTTTTACTTTAGATCTGCATGTCCAGATTCATGAACTTCCCTTCATTCTTCATCCCAAAATAACCGTTTACCGTTCTAAGAACTGTTTACCAAATCAGTGAATGAATCTTACGTTTTGGTCGCTTCAAAAATTAATTGATCTTATCTTTTAATACTAGATACATGGTATTGTAGTAAAATGTCATTATTATTTTGTTCAACAAAATTTATATTCAATTTTTATAATAAGAGAAAAAAAATGCACTACTCAAATGACATACATTATAATAAATTTTAATTTTAATTTTTAAAATAATGACATGATAAATATAAAAGTTTTGATGAGTTATATTATAAAATTATTTTGCACCGACGATATACTATGTATGAACTCTTATAATGAATGTGATTATTATTTTGTCCTAAATATTTAGTGGCCAAATACAAATTATTTATTTTCACTATTATGGTAAGAAATCATAACACTTTTCAATTTTAGATGACAATTTTTGTAACATGTTTTTTATTTGAGGGCACATGTGTAAAATCCATAAAATCAATTTAATTTAATACTATTAGTTTTGAATAAATAGAAAAAATGAACTATTATTTAGTAAAAACTATTTAATATTATTTAAAAAATATAAAAACTAAATACTACTATTAATTATAATTTATTAAACAAACATGAATAATTTAAATATTACGGAACTTGTAGATAAAGAAATACAAGAATACATATTTGTCCTGTTATTATTGGTGGGTCAACAAATCGAGTATGATACGTGCGGAAATCATGGAAAGTTATAGAGGGAAAAAAAAGGAATATCACTACAAAAAATATCATCTCCAGCCACGTGTTTTTGCCATGTGATTATCATGTGGCTAAAAAAAGTCAGTTGCGACGTGATAATCACGTGGCAACATGTTTTATTAATAAAATAAAGAAGCATGATGGTTGTCTGAGTTTTTAAAAAAAAATGTTGCAACGTGGGAATCACGTCGCTAAATGATTTATATATTTAATTAAATCACGTTACACCAATCACAAGACAATAATATATTTTCAACAAACACAACTCTCCCTCTCTCATTCCATCCCAATCTCCATTAACCCTCTTCTTCTTCATAAAATCCAATTCAATCTCCATTATAAAACCTCTTCTTTTTCATAAAATCCAACTTCAATCTCCATTAATCCTTGTTTTTCAGGTTAATTTAATTTAATTTTGTCTCTATTTTGTTTACAAGTTTTTATTTATTGTATTATGTGATTGTAATTTATTTTAATTTTTCTTTGAATAGAAGAAGATTGATATAGTAGAAGTAGATTGCAAAAAGGTTGGACAATAAGATTGAAGGAGTTAGAAGAGAAGAGGTATTTCTTGGAACTTTTTTTTTACATTTAGTATATTTTCTGAATTTAGTTAGATTTTAGGTTGAATTTGATTAAATTATAATATTATAATTTTCATTAAATATAATTTTAAAAAATGAGAATATATATTATATAGGTATACTTCTTGTTAAAAAACGAAAATATATATAAATAAATATGTATTAATAAACAAAAATATATATTATGATAAGTTATATATCTTGATTTATTTATTATAAAAAACAAAACAAAAAACAGAATAATATATAAATTTTATAAAAACAGTTTTAATGTTAATATATATTTTATTTAAAACAAATATAATATAATATTTTATGTATTGATTAAAAACATATATAAAAAAAATAATTTTTTGTATTGAATAAAAACATATTTAAAAAACTGTTTTAATATGTATATATTTAGTAAAAACTGTTTAATATTATTATTATAAAATCTGTTTTATAATTAAAAATATATATATATTTAATGTTATTATTTTAAAACTCTTTTATAATTATGCATATATAAAAAACAGTATAATATTATAAAAAACAGTATAATATTATAAAAAAGTATATATTTGATATATATATATATATATATATATATATATATATATATATATATATATATATATATATATATATATATATATATATATATATATATATATATATATATATATATATATATATATATATATATATATATATATATATATATATATATATATATATATATATATATACATATATATATATATATATATATATATACATATATATATATATATATATATATATACATATATATATATATATATATATATATATATATATATATATATATATATATATATATATATATATATATATATATATATATATATATATATATATATATATATATATATATATATATATATATATATATATAATATATATATATATATATATATATATATATATATATATATATATATATATATATATATTAATAAAAATTGTTTTATAATTAAAAAAATTATATAAAAATTGTATTATATGTTAATAAAAAACGGTTTTATAATTAAAAAATATTATATAAAAACTATATTATATGTCAATAAAACATTAATATAGTATGTTAAAAAATATTATATGTCAATAAAACATTATATATAGTTTGTTATAAAACATTATATATAAAAAACTGGTTTATGTATTTAATTATTATATATTATATGTATGTTAATAAAAACAGTTTTATAATTAAAAATTGTTTTATAAAAACTATATTATATGTCAATAAAAAATATTATATTAATTATTATATATTTAATAAACTATATTAATAGTATATTTAATAGTATATAATAAAAAATATTATATATTAAAAATAGTTAAAATAAAAGCATATGTTTATGTTTAATAGCATATATACATAGTGCGACAATTTATGCAAGCATTTGGTGGAAATCCTAACAATGGTGGCCAAAATAATAACCACTAAAATAATGATGACTTTCTTCGCGACTTTTTCGACGACTCGAATGATCTTTCTGCTTAGTTTTATTTTCATTTTCTATTTAGTTTTTTATTTGTGTACTAATATAAATTTATAATCATATTTTATATTTAAAAATATTAAATTCAAATTTTAGTTTATTAATTTTATTATATTAAATATATTAATTTATATATTTTGATATATTTAATTTTATTTTTGATAATTTGATTTATAATATTGAATTTAATAAATAAATTATAATATTTAATTTATAAATTTAATGAAACAGAAAATAATATTAATTATTAAATCAGAATTATTATATTTAAAATAGAAAATAATTTTTTTTTAAAAAATAAATAAGTTGCGACGTGTTTTCCACATCACAAATTAGTGACATGAAAAACACGCCGCAACACACAACGTAAAAGTGAATATAAAACCTGTTCTGACCTCTGCTCTGCTCTGACTGCCTTTGATCCCATAAAATTTGTTGCGGCGTGAATTTCACGTGACAACGTTGTGACATGTTTCCCACGTTGCAACAACATTGCCACGCGCTCTCTAGCGACGTGTTTCTTCACGTGGCAAAAACAAAGTTGTGACATAATTTTGGTGTTAGCGACGTGGGAGTCACGTGGCAACACACAACTTATTTTGTAGTGTATGTACTGACATTCTAAAATATATATGTATTCAATTAAAATATGTTTTTATTTTTAAAATCTTATATGACATGACAATTATAAGAATTTTAATTGATTGTAAGTGTAATATCTCTAAATTTAAAATTATATTGGCGGAGCCAAAAAAAAATATGAAGCCTGGGCAAGTTTTCATTGGCTTCATAATTTTCTACCAAGACAGTACAATGCTAATCCCAAAGGAATTATTTCCTTGAATTGCAATTGCCTCTTCAATTTGTAAGATTTCGGACATGATTGATGATACCAAACCAAATTGATGAAACACACCCCAGAAGGTTCATATTGATGTCGCACTTGAGGTCGTAAGTATTAAATTCACACTTATTGTCTTGTATATTTGTTAGTGATGTAGTCCTTAGGCTTCAAAAGCTTTATTAAGAAGATTTAACATGATAATCTAGATTAGAGAAATTTTAAGATTACGAAATACCAAGTACATTGCAATGGCAATAACTGGGATGATAAAGTCAATGATATGTACTTAACTTAATAGGAAACTATTATCAGTTATCTTGCATTCTCCCCTGCGATAATACCGGCAATAAACTTGTTCGTGGCTAATGTTATATTAATTAATCTGTTATCAAGCACAACAATTTTATTATTGGAAAATATAATAACCTGCACAGCTACCTTCAAGTCAAATTCCATTTTCTGTTTCTTCCAAACCAATTTGAGGCCATTAAAAATACCCTATAGTTCACCATCCACTATAGAGAAACTGCCAATGAAGTTGGAATAGGCCAAAACAAACTGGTCATTGGTGCCTTTAAGGATACCCCGACAACCTGATAAAGCAGTTACCCTAGCAACATCACCATTATAGTTAAAGCAAGGTCCCCAAATTTGAGTTAAGGCTGTTATTCAAATCACCTTTCCCAGTTATGGAAGAAATTGTCATGGATTTCACTTCAATTGTCCCACTGTTGCATTATTGCTGGTTGGAGAAAATGTGAGAATTCTTAGGAAACGACAGTTGATTCGAAATAAAGCCAAACATTAATGTCCACTCCACACTACTATAACTTAGAGCCTTCACAAGATACATTGTTGTTCAGGGGGTGCAGCAGCTGGATAATTTTTGTAAGAAGCAAAGTGGTATTATTTTATCAAAAATTTGTATACATGATAAACAAAGTATTGCTTCTGACAAATTTGAGATTTGGCTTGAATGCTATGCCAACTTATAGACTTCAGAAACATGATGTGGTTATGCATTGTTTGGTTAAATATATAACGGTGTATCAAAAAAATAAATGTGACTGTTGACCTGTTCTGCCTTGAGCAACAACAACATTCCTTGCAGTGTATTGAGGCTTTGGTTGCATCCCGTTTGAACCTTCAATCTCATCATCTTGTATCGTCTCACTTTTATAGTTAGAATTTCTCCGCGACATTGGGGAAAACGAACCACCCATTTCATCCGCAAGGTGTTTCAAAGACCGTGAGCTTTCCTGTAAGTTTTAATAAGGAACATACTGTTATATAAATGAATGACACAGAAGTCTCAGATAGGAAAGCATATAAACTGATTGTGATGTTTAATGTCCAGGACTTGATATTGTAAGAGTCCCAACATCAAACACCTGGTGTTCAATCAGGTCAATAATTTGGATTAAACATAAGATATGGATAAGTAGTAGCATACCATGATGCTCCATAATTGATAACAGCCTACAAACAAGTAGTTAACAGAACAATCAAATACATATTTTCTATGAGAAATCACATACAAAACTGGATTTTAAATGCATAGAAAGTGTTGAGTTGTTTCTGGACATTCATCAATATCTGCGTATATAAAGGAAAGCTTTGGGAATTTGTTGCTCAATCTATAGAATGCAGGGACAATTTAGCTGCAAACTCGACACCTGAAAACAGTAAAAAAAACACATCACTGACACTATCCAAAACACAATTTCTCCTATGATGTTCAATTCCATTCATTCAAATCTAAACAAACTAAATTTCAAAACATCATAAACTATATGGTTCAAATCAGTAGAGTCAGATATTCTAAGAGTCCCAACATCAAACACCTGGTGTTCACAGAAATACAATTCCACAACATTATTGTAATCCCAAACCCAACCATCCCCATCACAGTAACAGTATTCCTTAATATCAAAATAGCAACAACAACAACCACAACAACTTTAGCATTCCCCAAAACTTGCAGCGTCAAAGCACTCGTATGTTTCGTGACAAAAAAATTAGTCAAATTAACCAAATAAGCAACAGTGGCATTCTCATCCAACAAAAACACAATTATATTTCAGAAATCAGTAAGACAAACTCATAACTGTGAACACCAAAAATATAAAAGAAGATTCTGAAACAAACACATTCAATGGGAGTCATCAAAGTTTCAATATAATTAAGAATTTTAAACAACATTCAAAAACACTTCAGAATTTTCAAGTCATAAATATTTACACATATAACACAATTTTTCATATAATCAATGAATTTATTTTGGTCCAGATTTCATACATCCAATGTAGACCCTTGGTTTTATACGATGACGGGCAAGGGTTGTTGCTAGGACACCTAAAGAGCAACAAAGAAGAGCAAAGTTAATTTTTGCGAAAATACGATAGAGAGTCGAAAATTAAAAAAAACTAAAACGGCCGTAATTGACTTACACATTAAAATTTTCAATTGCAATTAATAAATTCAGGATGCACGAGGGATTGATATACTTGCCGTCTTGTTCATCGTATTGAGGGAGAGAAGAGTTCCATGAAAGTGATTCGAGGCGGCCGAGCCTGGGCAGCTGCCCTAGCTGGCCGGACGCTGGCTCCGCTAGTGCTCTAGCGACGTGTTTCTTCACGTGGCAAAAACAAAGTTGTGACATAATTTTGGTGTTAGCGACGTGGGAATCACGTGGCAACACACAACTTATTTTGTAGTGTATGTACTGACATTCTAAAATATATATGTATTCAATTAAAATATATTTTTATTTTTAAAATCTTATATGACATGACAATTATAAGAATTTTAATTGATTGTAAGTGTAATATCTCTAAATTTAAAATTATATGTGTGATGAATTTTTGTATGTTATCGTACCAAACAACATTTTTTCAAAAAATATACGCGAGGGAAATACTTTTCATTGGTCAAATTAATTTTAAAAAAATGTATGAATTCATATTCGTAATCGGTCAAGTCCATTTTATGTGAAAATTATAATGGTATGGTGTTATAGTTACCACATATATAACTTTAGTTGTTAAAAACGAACTTGAATATGTCATTATTGACATTGTCTTAACGAAGTGAGACACTTAAAATGTTATTAGCCGTTTGATTTTGATCTGACAATAAGAAAAAAATAATTTTTATAATTCTAAAGTACCAAACCTTAAATCAAGACTGTTGAATGTTAATCAGACACTTAAAACTCTATTATATGTGATTGTTGTCGTATGTGATTGTCGTTAAACATTGTTTACAATTAAGTTAGTTTATAAGTCTAATTGTTAGTTAGTGAAGCTAATTAGTTTTGTTAACTAACTTATGTGTACTTAATATAAAAGTTACATCTATACTTCATTTAATATAATCATCCATACATTCTCATTTTTTAATGCTCTCATTATTTTTTGCATTAACTCTAATAAATTGGGGACTCAGAGCTTGTTTCGATTTGTGGAAAAGAATAACGATTATATCTATGGTGGGGAACAGTAATTTTCCAATAAATCTACCATTTCTTGATGGCCAAAGTTTGTCTTTAATCATTAGGAAAGCAGTATGAAATGATGCGGATGAAGGACAATGAATTTGTAATAGATTTTTTTCAAGATTATTGACTTTGACCACTCAAATGAAAAAATCATATGAAATCTAATATGACCATATGATGATTGAGATGGTATTGCACACTCTATCACCTCAATATGATATGATTGTAGTGACAATTTAGAAAACAAAAAGACATGAGTAATATGAAGATGGAAGAGTTGCAACGAACACTTGAGGCTCGTGAAATAAGTGAGTCAAAGAGAAATTGAGAAACAAAAAGTTAAAAAAGCTTTATTTTATCAAACCAAGAAATGATATTTTGAAGAAAGAAAGAAGTGGAAGAAAGTAAGTGGAAAAACATACAAAAAAATATCAAAGGTTGATGGCAAGCCTGAATCATCAAGAGATGGATAATATCCTATCAAGAATCATAACAAAAAATATGACAAGAAATATGATCAAGCATAAGAAGTTACCAAACACATTTTGGTATGAAAACCTGTCTAAAATAACCTATGTTATTAATATATGTCCTACAAAAAAATTAGAAAAGGTACTTGAGGAAGTTTTGAAAAGGATAAAGCATTCAATTAAGCATATAAGATTGTTTGGCTATTTATGCTACATGCATTTACCTGTGACAAGAACGAAGAGATTGGACAATAAAAGTGAAACTATGATACTTGTAGTTAGGGGTGGAAAAATGAGCCTGGCCCATTGGCATACATGTTTTCCCCCCATTTTAGTGTGGGAAGGACAAGGATTTATGCCCTCACTCTTTAATGTATTTGCCCCATTTTTTTGTGGACAAATGTATTTACATGATTTTTTTTTGTATTTTTAGGCTCACAAGGTGCAATGTCGCGAACCCTCCCGCTCCACCCTCACTTTTTGTGCGGGGTAGCCTAAGGTTTTAGGCCAGCACCCTTGAGTATGCCTACCCCGCCCCCATCTCATTTTTGCGAGCTTTTGTAGGGCAGACCTCAATAGGGTGGGCAGGCCTGTTTGTCATCCCTACTTGTCGTGTATCATGAAATATGTTCTTATTGACTATAAAATCTAGTCAAACATAGTAAGTAGAGATGAGATATTATGTGAGTCAGAATCTTGGGATTGGAGTAATAGGCAAAGTAACATAACTCTAGTGGTTCCACTAGTGATTAATGAGGAACAAGAAGAAAAAGATGAATAAAAGAATACATTACCAAACACATAAGATGATCAAGAAAGAAGAATGTCATAAAGATAAAGGTTTGTTTCAACTTTGTTGGTAACCCATAAAATTCTTCATTATAATAAAATAAATGATGAAAGAGAATTTGTACATTTTTCTCTACTTGGTGATGCATAACTAGTGAAAATATGCAATAGTTAAAGAATTGAAAGCGTTATAGAAGAAAACTACTTGGGAGCTTACAAAGCTACCATTAAACAAAAGAGTTGTAGATGTGAAATGGGTCTTCAAGCAAAAATTAAAACCAAATAGAGAGATATCTAAACATAAAAGCAATATTAGTTGTTATAAGCTTTATGTAGAAAGAAGCTCTGGATTATGATGAAGTAAATTCACATGTTGCAAGACTTGAAACTATAAGAATAATTGTGTCCATTTCATATGGAAGAGGTTGGCCACTATTTCACATAAATATGAAAGCTTCCTTCTTGAATGAAAATCTGGAGGAAGTTGTGTATCTTGTATAACCTCCAGGCTTTGAAATTAATGGCAAGGAATAAAGTTTATTCAAATTAAACAAGGCTTTAAATGGGCTTAAGAAAGCACTAAGAGCGTGAAATAATAAGATATATGGATTTCAAGTACACTAAAACGTTGTAAAATGTGTTTTAGAATATGATGCGTATGTGAAGAAGGAGAAGAACTCAAGCATGATGCTCATTTTTTAATATATGGATGATTTTTTTATCACTGGAAATAACATGTATAAAATAGAAGAGATTAAGAAAAAAATGATGATTTAATTTGAAATGACTTATATTGGAAAATTGTTTTTTTTAGGAATGGAGTTTGTGGAAACTGGAAAAGGATTATTCATGCACCAACATAAGTATGCCTTTGATGTGTTAAAGAGGTTTAAAATGCTTGATTGAAATTCATCATTAAAACTAGAGAAACTAAGCTAAAGATTGAGATAGATGCAAGTAAAGAGTTAGTGGATCCAACTTTATTAAAAAAAATAACAAAATCATTGAGGTATGTAACACCCTTCGAAACCCAAAAATAATACTCAGATATTTTAATTAGAAAATATAACCACAATGGGGTCACTCACATCAAAATACATAATCTGCTCCATAATTCGGGTTACCGCAGAAATAAATTCAAATACATATGTTTATACTTGGGATGTTACACGACATCCAACACATCTGATTTGTACTTGGGATGTTACACGTCATCCAACATATATGATTTGTACTTGAGATGTTACACGATATCTAACACATCTGATTTGGGTCAAGTACTTCATAATAAGGAATTAAGTACATGTCCTCGCATGCTCACCTAATAATTTACAGTATCATGGAAAAGGAATCACTAATAAACATTCAACAATAGCATTGTAACTCGTGACATTTAGTTTCATGATTTTCAACTTAATAGCATAATAAAAAGAGTCTGACAATCAAATCAAAACAATTTCAAAATCTCAACAACATAAAAAGTTTGTAACTTCGACAACAATAACACAAAAATCAAATCAAGTGTTTATCCCAACCTGACATTACAAGATCAGAGCAAGGGACCGCTAATAAAAGCGATAAACTATGGAAGTAACTTCGAGGCTATCTTCCATTTACTTCAACAATACTACTCCTTGAAGGTGCGAGAAACACAAGAAATGAGGTTTGAATTGGGTTGCACCAAATATAATCTTTTTGCAACTCAATCACAAAGCTAACAAGTGAATACAAATAAATGAACACAATTATTTTTATCCTGGTTCACTGTTAACTAAGTTACTTCAGTCCACCTTGTAAGGTGAAATGCCTTATCCACAAGGACTTAATCCACTATAATCAACCGATTATAGATAACCATAATAAGTCTAATCAACTGATAAGTGTAAATTATAGATGTTTTTATGTATACTTTTTGTTGCACTTATTGACTCTTTATTGTTAATATCGGTTGAATAAACCAGACTTTTGTGTAAATATGTTTAGTTTGTACATAATTGAGTTTTTGATTCATTTGTGTACTGTTTGATAGATGTTACTTCTTTCATAGGTATTTAATGCATATTTGGAGCGTCGAGGAATAAGGTGTCCAAGGCACGACTCCGGATGCATGTTTTCAGAATAAAAATCCATTTATGGGAAGTTCTGTCTAGGTAGGCGCATTAAGCGGGAATTATAGCATGCTATGAGTGTTTTGACATATTTGACAGAGGTTGTGCTGATGAGGCCGCTGAGCGGCAGGCCGCTT